AAAAGGACACAAACACCTCAACAACGACGACGACGATGATGAGGACGACGATTCTGATGAAGGTACACACACACAGACACATCTACTATCGTCGTCCTTCATTGTCCTCCAATTATCGGACTGAGGGCCAACAACTCTTTTTCTTCTCTCCGTTTATCCACCTCATTCTTTCATTCTTCCCTTCAGCCTTTATAGAATCTTTCTTTCTTTCCTTTTTTTGATTTTAGCATAACTAGCAATTGGTATTGAAGTATTGTAGAAGTAAAAGATAATTACCATAAAAGGAATTGGAGAAAAAAAAAGGCCAAATTGGGAGAAGAAAGAGTGAAAGCAAGGCGATGAGACAGACGGCATGTGAGAGAACATAGTGATCTAGGAGGGTACATAGATAGAGAGAGGGCAAAAGGTTTCGATAAGCTTTACGAAAGATAAGGGTACGAACGGACATCTAATTAAGATTTGGAGTCACCTCAAGTACAAACCTTGACGTCTGGACTTCCGAAATGTATTCGAACTACAGCTCATGCGGATATGTCCATTTTAGGACGAAGTGAACTGAGAGATCAGTTCCCTTTTTTTCTGCTTTTGTATTTCAAGCCATAGACGGACCTCTCTCCGAATACTAAAACCAGTCGGATATAAAATGGTTTTTCATGTATTTTTTTATGTTTTTAAACCTCCAAATATCTCAATCATGTAATGGACTCTTAAGACGCAAAGTACACTTGTAACGATACAGAAATTCCGAACGAAGAGGAGAGAGGAGAGAGGCTGAGAGAGAGTCGTGTTTTTGATTGATATTTAAAGAAGAGTAATTAATTGTATAAGAAATTAAAGAACGAATATGGTATTAGAGCTATATAAGTAGACGGCTGCCCAAGAGCCATCACCATCTCACTCATGCATCTCAGCTCTCTCTCTCTCTCTCTATCTCGAGCCTTCCCTCTCTAACTCACTTCACTTCTAACAATTTATTTTTTGTTTCCATCTAGTAGAATATTCAATTTTGAAATATTTCACTTATCAAATACAAATTTGAAAGAAAAAGCCTTAAGATGTCATTCTCCCACGTACTTGGTTTCTTTTCGGAATGTTTCTGTGAACTTGCCGACATGCTCATCTTACTGTATTCTCAATACTCAACTCACATTACGGACTGTTAAAATAGTAAAGTATAATGATTGTAACGAACCAAAAGGGAAGCAATGAAGAAGGGAGGTCAATCTGTCCACGTGTTCTCCACCATCACGTCATCTTTCAACATTTTTTTATTATTTTTATATTGTTTTTAATCATAAAATCAACAAAACTGTCATCAAATTAAGCGACGGCGCTCCCTCTCCCCCCCCTCTCTCACTATAAAACGGATTTTCCCATACAGAGATAACGGTTTCTGTTTTATGTCTTTCAAATTGAAATCTCTTTGTTCCAATCCAATTTGCATAATAATCTTCGTTGATCCACGTGTGCGTGTGTTTGCAACGTGGCACGTTTCTCACGTAAAATGTGACGTGTGAAAGGCGTGTGATTGCAAGTTATTCGGAAATTGACGGTTATGATGAACGGTTGTATCCAGCAGATTACTGAAATCAGATGGTCATTTGCGTCGTGAAGATTTGTGTGGATGAACGATTACATCAGACTGATTGACCTCTCGTGAGTTAGTTAAAGACAGAAGATGGACAATGTGTGAGAGAGACAAGCAAAGTGAGAGAGAGAGGTGTGAGGCAGGATTTCATCACTTTACGTGATGTTTGTTTGTTATGATGATTAGCTATATATATAAGGCACAAATTATGATTTCTTGATCATTATTTTCGTTGCAAAGTCGTTATGCAGTCGTATTTCTCAATGCAGACTGTACGTATATCCGCTGGATATGCGGTGCTCTTTTGAAATCTCTAAGACACGTTCATGTTTATGATGCAATAGAGAAAGAGAGGGTATTCGTCTAAATCTGAAATTCATATTAACATTCAATTAGTTCCATGTATTATGTGATTTTCATATTAACTTCTACCCTCTCTCTCTCTCTCTCTTTATATATTCTCTCTTTCTATGTGTTGCATATCACTTTTTATTCATTTCATGCTCATGTCGAGACAAGACGCTTCTCAGTCTGCTGCGCCTTCTCCTCCTCTCCTTTTTCGGTTTCATCCGTGTTTCTGCCAGCTTTTCGTTTTTCTTCTTCCATTTAAAGAAGTTTCTCTATGTGCCAATGCTGATTTTGCATTTTTTTGAAAACAAAAAGTAATTTTTCTTATTTTCCCCCTCCTTTTATGGCCATTTTTGCTCAAAAAATTGCAATCGAACCGATAATAAATAGTCGTTTCGCAATGGCTATATTTGTATAGTTTCGGCTCGGTTTTTGCTGTAAATGTTAATGAAAAAAGGACAAAAAAAACAATTTGAGAAGCAATTTGTAATAGTTTTATCTCACAAATTACTTTATCAGTCAGATCTGTGTTTGACCACAGCTCATTTCGGAAGAGAATGTTGATGCGCTCTCTCTCTTTCTCTCTATCATTACTTCATTCGATGTGCTATCATTCATCCTCATCATCACTTTTTCCAATTTTTATTTGGAAATTTCTAGGAGAGACAGAGAGAGAGACTATGTGTCTGTGAGTCAGGAAGAGGAGAAGCTTATATGAAAGAAGAAAAACAAAGACTCATTCTATGAGTTATCCTCCCTTATTAGGAAATACTTGTGAAAGATGCTTGCGAAATGTTGATGTAAACAGTTTGCGTTATTAAGAAACTTCCTTCACCCGACTGTCAGCAGGAGGTTCATATAAAGGTTGCAATCATGCTCTTCTTCCATTCTCTCTCTCTCACACTCAGATTTCGTTGCAAAAACCTGTGTGTGTGTGTATGTGTGTGTGTGCTGTTTCACAAATTCAGCTTTTTCTCATAATTTTTCCTAAAATGTTTCATCTCTGATTTGAATAATGCATTTGCATGAGAATTTGTAATTTTCCTTTGAGAGCTTTCATCGAACAAAAGAATATCTTAAAGTTCATCATTCCATATATGGGTAGTGAGGAATGGAAATTGAAAAAGCTTTTCTCTACCATAATACTTGAGGCTTTTCCTTCATTCAGCTTTTTCTTCTGCTTCCCTAATCACCCAATCACATTTTCTCGTTCGCCAAAAAAACAGAAGAGAATCTGTGTGCCATATTTGGCAACAAAGCTTCTGATGTTGTAATTTCAATTTCATTTTCAACATTTTCCTCTTCGTACTCTGAGTTTGTTTCATCTTTCTTCCTATGTAAGGCATCTCCTTCGTTTGGTCCATCGGCTGCATAACCTGCTCTGCGTGTCTGATGGGGCTTGTCTTTCTCTGTCTTCTCTGCCTCTCGCGTCCCGCCCCCTTCTAGGTTGAATTGCTCCGCCCCTAGGGCTAGCCAGTCGGTGTGGCGGGGCACTATCTCTCACGGGTCTATCCTCCTCTCTCCCTATTCTCCTCCTGTATATATTCACCAAACTCAGGTAAGCTTTTATACTTACAAGTTAAAAGCAGCATTTTCGTGTTTCTATCTTTTATTTTTCTTTCTTCTTGTGAATTATCAATCTTAACTGCCTGGAGGCATTTCGGCATGCTTCGGCAGGCAGACATGGGTGCTCCCAGCTGTTGGCAAGTTGTGTGCTGAGCTAATAGCTTTTTCTCAGTAAAAACGCATTATTGATTTAATTTGAAGAAATAATTACATAATTTTGAATTATGGGGGTAACTTTCTGGCCATGGGTTAGAACAAGTCTGAAGACAAGCGCAGTAGAAAGCCAATGTAGGAAAAAGCAGATGGGGAATCCACACAGAAGTGAATTATGTCCTCATCGGTTGGATAAGATAAGAAAGACCAACCAACTGAAAGCCAAACGAAGACTTTCTGCTGGTGGTGCGAACAAATTTCTCAAACAGACGAATGATTGATTCTAGGAGCTTTGAGCAAAAAAAAGCTTTGCCTCCTCAAACTTTTGCATGCCAAATTGTGTTTAAGCATTTCTAGCTTCTTCAGCCTTTTCTGGGTAGTTGGGACGAACGACAATTTTAGAAATTTGTTTTTTTTCACTGCTGCTCCAGTTGATTGCATCGAAATTTCATTTGATTCCGCTTTTTTTCTTATCTCAAGTTCATTTTTCGATTTTATGTTTTGTCTTGTATACAACAGCTGACGGCAATATCTTTTGCACTTTGGCTGGCCATCCATTTCACGTGGATTGACGTGAATGACGCCAAGTTGATCTAACGGAGGTCATTTTTCACAAAATCTCCTAAGCATCTGGTTGTACATAGCTGTGTGTATGTGATTAGCATACGTCTAAACGTGTATTTAACACGTCTAAGAACGAATATTCGCGATTTTCGTGACAAAAATCTCTCGAAAAGAATAAAAGAACAGCAGTCGTCATGCCAGATGTCTTACATGAACGACCTCGATGTTTGACCATCTATGGTTAAAAAATATCCTCGGCCTGAATAAGCATTTGGCTAAGCGAAAACTTTTCTTTCTTTCTACTTCCCTTTATCTGAACCATCGTGCTTTTAATGAGTTTTGATTGTTTTTGTGTCTAAGCGAAAGTCTTGAGAAACGTCTTCTCGCAGTTTTTGGAAGCTTCGAAACGTTTCCCCCCATATCTCTCTCTCTCCCTTCTATTCCGTTCACTACAACTCCCTCTGTGCTTTTCCCCCTCTCTCTCTCTCTCTTTGCTGGGTATAACTTGATAGAATGTGCAAAACATAAAGCTTCGTAATTTTCTTATTTACTAATTGTTCTTCATTTCAGGTCATTTTGTGCGGCTTCATTGCTTCTTGACTGCACATCCTCGACGATTTGTGTTTCAGCCCTTGTTCACGTAACTGTCACACAAATCTCCTTCTTAAACTCTTTTTCTTCTCCCCCCAAGAAACAAACAAACAATTCGTGATATCCAGCAATTATTCTGCCTTTTCATCAATTTACTCTCAACTAATCTCCACACAACTCCCACAACAACATGATTTCTTCGCCGGAACTTATTCAACAAGAGTATGCAACCTTGCTCCGTCTGTCCTGTTCGAAGATAGTCAACTCTCGACATCGACGTGGTGGTGTGAATATTCACAAGAATCTTCTTGTTCTTCAAGTTATCAAACGGGTTCAGGATGCTAAGTTCAGGTATGTCTTTCAACATTATGCTTTTCAAATCGTTTTTCGAAACGAGAACTAATCATGCATTAAACTCCTGACCTTTATGCGTTTTCTAACATCTTCATCTGTTCTCTGCCATCTCCTCGTCGCATCTCTTAGTTTCTCTGCAAACGCTTGCTAACCGACGAACATTTTCATGTATTTATTATTAAATTATTAAGATTGTGAACACTTCCCTTTCTCTCTTTCAACTTCTCTTTCTGTCTTTTACAGTAGGCGGCGATCTATATGAGTTGCTGCCACTCATTTGCAACCTTCTCTCTCTCTCTCTGTCTCTTTCTCTCTTTCTCTATCAGCGCCATTTTCATGTTTTTGTAATTTAAGTCAATTCGATTTTATTCATTTCAATCAAAGAACTGTTTTGCTAAAATACTTTGTTTCCTCCGTCTTTTTACCTCTTAAGCTCTTTCTCACTATCTCTGCTTTCCTCTTGTTCGCCTTCTTCTCTCGCATGCTTCCTTTCTGCTCGCTCAGACCGGCGCCATCAACTACTGGTTGTTTCCTCATAGAAGTTTCCTCAGGAAGTCTAGAAAGTTCTTTAGAAAGAAGTTTCCTTTGTTTTCTTCGTTATATCGAGATATGAGGGAAGATTCTATTTCTCCTTAATCACCATTCCTCCTCCTACTCCTACTTCACCTGCCTCCTCAACATAGACTCTGGTCTCTCTTCTGAATAATTTTGAGAAGAAAGCTTCAGTTTATATGTGAGAAGAGCCGAAAAGCAAAGCCAAATAGGAAAAGCTTGACTAAGTCAAACATATTCCTAGGCTTTGTCATAACAATTCACCAAATGATTTTGGCCCAAAATATATTTTCTTCTTGCCCTCTTGCTCCTCCTGCGTGTTCAACTGTAAACCTGAGAACCTGTGGGAGGAGAAGAGGGCTTGAGAGGATGTGTTCATCAAATCTCCCATTCATAGGTTGTGCATTGTGATGTTTTTATATTCTGCCATCCACTCCTCTATTTCATTGGAGCTTCTCGTATTCAATCTAATTGCTTGCTGCCACTTCGAACGTCCTTCTGGTTCTGATGCTGTTTACGTGCATTTGCATCGTCTCGAGCGATCGCTTGATGGAGTTGCTCCATCTTTCTTCTCTGCTAATCCTTCTCTTTCTCTAGTCGTCTCTCCCTCATTCAGTATCATTTTATCCTTTCTTCTCTTTTGTTATTTGTGTGCACAAAAGTCTGGGGAAACCCGACGGATGTATTGTCTGACGACGTTGACGGGGTCTCCCCGAATCAGCGAAGACGACGACGTCTGCGGCTCGTTGGCGACGTTACCAATCCCCTCTCCAACAGTGTCGTCAATACGTTGACTTTTCTTTATATATTTTTTCTCTTTGTCTGTCTCTCGTCAGTCGGCTAGAAAGATGAAAGTCAAGTTGATTTGGCTGAGAGAAGACAAATTGATGATGTTTTCATCTTATCCCCCAATGATCGTCTTTCTAGACTTTTGGCCTTACATTAAAACTAATCAGAAAGCGCATAAACTACCACCTGCCAAAGATCAATCAATACATTCTTGGATGTTTATAAAGGTTTTCCGTCTTTCAGATTGGAAGAAATGGTCCAGGAAGAACTGAAAGCGCGAAAAGCTGACGAAGACGTCATCTCTCCTCCTCACGAGTTCACTGTTACTGATTGTGGCGATTTTTGTGATGAATCGATGGATGAACCATTAGAATTTGGCTCAATGGCCACTGAAGATGAAGACATCGTGCCACAGCCAGTTCCCAAGGATATGGATGATGCTTTAGCTCGTTTGGGTGAGCGTAAGCGCAAATTCGATGACCGAAGTACTCCTCGTCACAAAACTCAACGTGTCGCCGATCGCGCTGTGCCAGTGCTTCGCCTTCTCAATACAAGCAATGTCAAGAATCTGAAGTAACGTGTATGAAGTACGTGTACGACCAGGCAGTATTTTAAACCTTTTTTTTGTTCTTTTCCCCACTAGTTTTCTACGGTAACCTATTTATCTTTCTGATATCTTGTACACAAACAGGTGTTTTTGCCCTTTTATCTGCCCCTCAGTTTCCTCTCTCTCTCTTTACTGCTTTCCAGTCTCTCTCTAATTCCTCTATGAAACCGCTATGAGAACTCTCCAAATTGAGCAGGGGCTAGATGCCTTCTCAGCTTCTAGAGCGATGTTATCTAGTTTCTCTCCCTCCTCTCGATGTGTGTACTGTCATTTCCACGTCAATTTCTTCCTGTTTTTGTATTTTTATTTCCTCCAACTCTTTTAATTTCGTTTTCGAAAATGAAAGATTGCGAGTTGAATCTCCCAAATGATGCCCGCGCCGGTCTGCAGCCTCCTAGTCCATCTGAGCTTTAGTCTTATGGGAAGGATAATCGTGAGTAATTGATTAGATTTTCTTATATTTTTGATTAGCAAAAGAGAAAAAAAAGTTGAAAAAAAAGAATTTTAATGAGCCTTGTCTCTCTCGCAAGGTTCCTTATAAGGAATCATTGAATATTCACGAAGTTTCTTCCGATCAATCTCCTGTTTTAATCTCTCAAAGTGTTCACTCCTTACTTGACTATGAAGCACATTATTCATGTTCTGCTCGGTTTCATTCAAATTAGCCAAGTAGATCCGGTCCATATACGGTCTAACTTGTACAAGTTCCATTGTTAAGCCTCTTTATTAATATAATTATAATTATTATGAAAGTTATCTGTTATTCTCATGTCTGCCTTGGTCCCACACTTTAACTCTCTAGGCATTTTCTCTTTTTGTTGTATTTAGATGAGGCTGTGATTGATGCTTGATGTATGCATGCTTACATGCTTGCTTCATCAGCTATCCATCCATTCTCCATCAAGTAACCTTCTAATAATTCTCTCTCTCTCTCTCTCTGGGTACCGATGTACATAATACCGTATTCGTTATCTTTTCCTTCCAGATACGGCATGCTTTATCTCGTCCCTTCCTCCCTATCTCCTATATGCTTAGTTCTTAATGCTTAACATCATTAGAATGGTAGAGTTTGAGAAGTAGCCTAATAGAATTATCATCAATCTCACTTTTCTTTGATTATTGCGGCTTATCTCTCTCTTCCTGTCTCTTCCTCTCTCCCTGATATTTCTCAGAGAACGTGTACAATACATCTAGCTGATGTTCTTCTTGTGTATACCGTTGACTGATTAATTGCCTGTGAAGTATCCCTTACCCTTACTTTCCTTCTCGCTAGATTACATCATATACTAAACTGTCATTTAATTTTAATCTTTTAAATCAGTTCAATTCTAGTTCAACATCCTAAACCCCATTCCTGGACCCGTTTTCACATCTCCTGTTAGAAGAAGCCTGGTAGAATCGATTGTAGTCAACGGCTATTTGTGCATTTATTTTTTCTTTTCCAATAGTTGATCCCAGTTTATTTTTCTGAAAACAAATAAAAACGCTAAAATCTAGCTTCCCATCTCTCTTCCCTCTCTCCCTACGTCCCTCCATAATCATGCAAACAGCCGTGTGTCTTATTTCCAAGGGACCCGGTGTCCCATCCCTCCTTCCTCCTGTAACCCCAGAAGACCTCAAATAACGCTGTGCTGTTAGATCCAATTGGTTTTATATACCAACAAACAATTGTTTTTGTTCAGAAAATCAAGCTCTCAATGCTTTTCTGTAACCTCTCTGTAAATCTTAGGAAGAGAATCATCCCATGTGCCCCCTCTCTTGTTCGTTTCCAAATACACCAAAAACCAAAATCATATACCTCATTTGTATATTACGAAGAGTCTAAGCTGGAAAACTTGACTTCCTCTCGTAATATATGACCCTTTTTAGAATTCCATTTATTGTTTTGTCTTATTTTTTCTTTTTTTTTCCTTTTTCGTATTGTATCACTTATTGGGGTCTTTTTGTCAAGACCAAAATCACCCAACAAAATAATTCTGAAAAAATTGAATAAAAATTATAAAATTGAAGTAGTGTTCTTGATGATTCTCCCAGCACACTAGCACATCGCAAGCAAAGATGACAACTGAAGAGAAGAGACACAGAGAACATACTATCGATCGACAACACAATGTATATGGGCAGACGTTTGTTGACATATTAGTCAACTATGATGAACAGTCTCAGTTCATTTGTTTCTCTTCATCAAGATCAGAAGCTCATTAAGCCATTTGCTCTCAAGTGTCTGCAAGGAAACCTTCTGCTTCATACCCCTCTTCGTCTGCTGTTGATTGTATTTTCTGTTATACGTTGAGAAATGTCTCAACTTTCTTGACTGGTCTCTCTCTCTCTTTCTCTCTCTCAACTTGGAACTCTCCTCACGTCTGTTTTGTTCTTTCGAACGATCTTCCGTCATCATCCTTTCTTTTTTTTTCTTACCTTCGCCCCGTTCTCATCACCATCATCGACTTCATCAGACGTTTTTACCAATTTTGTCACCACCGATCATCCAGGGCGCTATTTATTTATGCTGGAAATCGAAGCTGTGTGAAAGAATTGTTTAAATTTAGAAGAATCAGCCTGTTCCGATGGTTATCAGAAAAGCTTCAAAATTGATGGATGAAAGTCCCGTGATGTGACCGTTGATTACGAGGTTTTGATCATCAGAATTGTTTTACCACAACCAGCAGTCGTGGGGGAGGGGGTGGGGGGAAATGAATTGAAACAGAAGAGAACTTGAGGTCAGCGATTGTCTCGTAATAAGTAGTTGTTGACCAATGAAGCGGAACGTGTGCCATCCTCATCATGAAGTTAACGAGTCAGGAAAAGCCATGAAATCTTCTTATACTTCAACTCTCACTAAACATTTTCGATCATAAGGGAAGAAAAGGGAGGGGCTGGCCAAGCAATCAAACACTTGAAATGATTGCTTCTATTGATTTGCCAACATACCTCTGGTGACACTTTGTGGTTTTTTTGCTCTCACGCCCCATCTAGCGTGTTAAGACCTCAGTTCATTTTGGTCTTTTTTGGTCAAATTGAAAGCAACCTGATTTCGACTACTTATCGCACGACTACCCAAAACGCTCGACAACGAAATTCTAGTTCAGCCTTTGACTGCAAAACGAGGGATGCAGTCGGCTTCGATGGAGTAAGTGAAGGAAAGAAAATAAAAGAGAGAGAACGAGAGAAAGAGAAAGAGGTTTTTGGTAAGACATGTTGACGTTGTTATATTCGTCGTTTCAAATATTGATCTTCAATAAAAGGGTCAAAATATGATTTTTCACATCATTTTCCGAACTTCGAAAGGGAAGTTTGTTTCAGAGATGTCAACTTGAACATCTATGCATCCATGTTAGGAAGAGTGATTGTATGGGATTCATTCAAGAACTCCCCTTATGAGGAGAGCTTGATTTAGTTTCCTTTTTTGATATATCTAAGAGGTCCAAAATGCATGAATGTTTGTCCAACAAATTTTTTATTGTTCCGAGTGTTGTATGTGGTCACCTCTTTCTCTATCTAGCTCTAACTCTTGTTCAATCTCTCGGTTCTTATGTTTTCTCTCTATGATTCAGAAGATCAAATGTGATGAGGAAGCTTTCTCCCAAATCCCGTTTCCTTCTTTGGACCCTCTTCTTTAACAAATTATTTTCTATAAAAAAGAATTGTGAGAGAAAAAGGAAAAATAGGAGAGAACAAGGAGTGAGGAGGAAGTAAAGAAGAATGAATCAGAAGAGAGACAGAGATGAGCAGGAAGGAGAGAAATTGAGATGAAAAAGAGGGGACCTTAAACTACGTGCATCATCATCATCATCATCATCATCTTCTTCTTCTTCGTCTTCGTCTGCAATACACTCGAGCTGTTGGTCGATTTCGCAGTCAGACTCTCAAACTGACTTTTATGGATGTCAACTTACGGAAAAGATATTGAATGTTTGTGGTTCCAAGACCGGGTCCGATTGTAAGTTTTATTTGGGATAGAAAGAGAAAAATCATAGATAACGACAGTCATTGAGGCGAATCGTCTGAATGAAGGATATGGCTCTTTTGGATTGGCCCCGTCAGATTGTTATGAGAATGGTGTTTGATCAGAGAGAGACACACACACAGTCGAAATTCAGTAAAAATGTTATAAATAAAATGACGAAGACAACAAGTTTGAGGGAATAAAGAAGGTAATTTGGAGGAGAAAGTCGGAAAGATAAGTCGAGACCAAAGGGGTTAGAGAAGAAGAGAGAGAATGGTAGAGAGAGAGAGAGAGTGAGTATAAAGATAGAGAGTGGGAAAGTAACGCTAAAGCGTTTGAAAATATCATTTGGTTATCTAAGCGATCAGCATATGTAAATTAAGTTTAATTGAAGAAGACAATATCATATGAGGTGAGATTTAAAGATAGAGATAATTAAAGGAAGAGAGAGAGAGGGAGAAAGAGAATTAGTTGGATGAGAGAGACAGAGAAAGAGGAGGATGGGATACATGGTGACTGCTTATTGTTGTGAAAGTAAATATTATTTGTGCTAAGCGGATAGCCTTTGCTTCATTGAGTGAATAGAAGAGGAAAGACAGTAAGTCAAAGAGGAATGAAAGAGAAGAGAAACATCGAAAGATAGAAAACGCACAACAGCTAGAAACCTCTCTGGATTAGAGCTCTAACTGTTAGAAATAGTACTTAGACGTATTTAAAGTACTGAGAGATATTAGAGAAGAGATTATTAGATACAGCTTAAGATGAAGAAATAACTAACGAACAACATATAATTAATGAATAGCCAATGGGTCACAAATGAATTTTGGTTAAAACGAGGAATCATCAGGGGTTCGTTGATGCTGTCTTACTTACATCTAAGCATCTCCTTCTCATACTCACTTCATCATGATGACCACTTATACTCACGTCAAAATATTGCCGTGAACATATTGCCGTGAACAATACGTGGCATCACGCATAGATTTCTCAATCACAATCATTTCGGATCATTACGACATGTTGA